TTTTGTTAGAAGTAGAATAGGGTATAAATGACCAATTGGTCAAGTCATGAACCTTAAGAACCTGGAACAGCGCCTGGGGTGTTCAAGAAATAGTTACTGAATGACTGGATGAATGGATCCAGGAAATGAACTGAATTTCATTTTACTGTAAATCCGAGTGAATGGCCACTAGGGGGAGCGTGAGCGCTCTCTTAGCCGTGGAAAGGGCGCTTCGTACACTTGCACCTGGGGTCCACAGGTGTGGGTTTGGGAAAGTGAGGATAGTGCTTTGTAATGATCATTGAACCCTGTATTTCTAAAATGCGTAAGACCCAGCCACATGAATGAGCAAGCAGTTGAGTATTTCAGAGTCCCCCACCAGGTTCACTGGGTGCAGTTCTGTGGTCCTGCTTACCTGGAGAGCTGGAGACCAGAGCCAGAGAGCGGGGCACAAACAGCCACGTGGAAAGCACAGTGCACGGAGCGCGTGTTTGCAGCCAGGTGCAAAAACTCCTCACTGAAAACACTCAAGAGCCAGGTGCAGTGACTTAGGCCTGTAAACCTAGCGCTTTGGGAGGTTGAGACAGGACTGTGTGAGTGCAGACCAGTCTGCACAACATGGTGAAACCCAACTCTACAGAAATAAAAAACTTAGCTGGGCATGGTAGCCTGCGCCTGTAGTCCCAGCTACTCAGGAGATTGAGGCTAGAGGATCTCTTGAGCCTGGGAGGCTGAGGCTGCAGTGAGCTGTGGTCATGCCACTGCACTCCAGCCTAGGTGACAGAGTGAGGTCCTGTCTCAAAATAAGTAAATAAAAACTCAAGAATCAGACAAACCAGATAGCTCTGGATCCAGCAGTATGGTTAGTAGAGTGGAAATAAGAAGACAGCATGAAGAACTGAGGGGAAAGTTGAGAAGAATGGGCTCATGAAGTTGGTGACTTGATGGCTAATTTGCACCTTGACACCTGGCACTTGGTCACACACTGTTTTCTATTACTTTCCTCTTTTCCAGAGACTCAGATCCTTGGGGCACTGAGGGCTGCTAGTTTCATCTGTTCATCTGGAACCTGGATCTAAGGAGGGAAGAGGCTTTGCCCCGGCGGCACAGCCAGGACCAGCCCAGCCAGGTAAGGGCCTAAAGCCCTTGTTGCTTTGTGACTTTTCCCTTCATCTAGACAGGAAGCCTTTGGAGAGCAGGTACTTGTGGGTGCTTTATCAGAGACTAGACGCCAGGAGCATCCCTTTTCAGAGCTCCGGGTTTTCTGTGCCTCATGCAACTTCTGCAATTGGGACGAACAATGTCTTTTAATTTTATTTTACAATAGGGAAACTGACAAATATTGAATTCCGTAACCAAGCAATCCTTGGCCAATAGGCCCATGAACTTGAATGGAGAAAAAATTAAATCTTTATCTTTATTAACCTTTAACTAAAATTTAGCATTTCCTTGAAGTATGGATATAGGCAAGAAACCACAGTAGAATCAGCAGAACTTGTGACTTTGTTGCCAACAGAAATCACGGATGTTTCCATACCACATGATGTGTTGTAGATATCTCAAAAATGTTTCCATTCATCACACTTTGAAATTATGGGAGTCCTTAGATCACTGCTAGATCTTAACATTTCATGCATCAATGAACACATATATTACTATATTACGATTCTAAAATATTTCAGTATGATCAATTTCCTGTGTAACACAGTATACGCATTTAAATATACAGGCTTTACCAGACTACTAAAGATTAAGAAAAAGGTTAAGAACCTTTGCTTAAAGAAAATGATACCTTAGAGCTCTATTAACCTGTCATTCACTAATTTGCTATGGATCATAAATTAATATGTTTATTTCTTTTGAAGCCCAGCAAAGGAAGTATAGCTGTTAAAACATTGAAAGGATGTGTTATCACTAAGAGATTCACATAGATTTAATAACAAAAATAGGAACTATAGGAAGTATGTTGATTTGATCTTCTACATTTTCTGGATAAAAGGACGTATGCAGAACCTTTCAAATTCCATTAAACAAAAAGAGCTAATGCGTAAGCCAGCTGATGAAACTTATTCAAGACTGTAAATAATTGGTAGGCTGAGCTTGTGGTGATGCCACTTCATGTCTCCCTAATTGATTTAAATTTTTTGAGTGAAGTTAATTGTAAAAATAATAGCCAACACTTGAGAATGTCATTTTTCTGATGTATCTTCAATTAGGATAATGTACATTAAACACAGACTTTTATGTCCTGTGGCCACTGATGATATGGAATTCATATTTGGAAAATTCAAGTTTGGAAGTTTGAGGCTTTTAGAAATATGAGAAGTGTTGTTTAAGAAAATTTAAAATGTTACATTATCACCACAAACAGAAAATGCAAGGGTTTGTGTAGACTATTTTGTCTTTTTGGAAGTAATGTTGCAGAGATACTTAAGCTAAGAAAGATGTTGCCATTTTTTTTTTTCTACAGGTATTGAATGGGCTGGGTTTTTAGTGATCGTCCCTGCTCACCTGGAAGCATCTTTAGTGGAAGGTTAGCTTCTGTGAGTCACTGATACTCTTTTTATTGCTATTTGTAAATTTCCTCAGCTTGAGATACTTCTGCTTTGCAGAAATTATCTGCTTGCAGCTGTACATAATTTTTAACAATCTCTGGTGAAACCTCAGAAAAAAGATATGCTTTTGTCTTAGATGGATGTCAGCAGCTGCAGCGGAACCCGGTGAAAACACCCCCCGCCCCTTCCCCGTGGCACGAGGCTCTCCCAACAGTAACTCCAACAAACTGACAACCTCTTGAGACTTTCTTCTTCTCAGGAGCATGACATAGTTAAAAAGGAAAAAGCCACAAGCAAAACAGTTGCCAATGAAATAGGAGAGGGAGCTCTTTAAACAAGGCTGGCTGCAGCGGGCCTCTGACGCTCATCTGCAGGGCACTTGGTCCGAGGAGTGAAGCTCTTCCAACCTGGGTCAACAAAAAGGGAGAAGAAATGGCCCAAGAAGTAGATCTGCATGCCCTCAAGGAGCTAGAACTCGAGGCCATTCTCCAGGTCCTGTACAGAGACCAGGTGGTTCAAAACACAGAGGAGGAGAGGATACGGTACGCTGCCCTTTCTGTGGGGTCACTTTGGGTTTTTAGCTTTCTCTGCTTGGGGCCTGCCACTAACAGCTGATGCTGTTTGCTTACAAATCACTACCCCGTGCTGCTGGGCTTCGTGCCTGAGAAGGGTCCTAATGAAGGGCTGTTGGTGGAGATGATCTTCATTATCTAACTAAAGTAGAAGATGCCCAGTAGGAGGGAGGCCGCTCTTGTTATTCATTTAAAACGGTGCCTTTGGGCGGTAAGTTTGTCTGTCTGCCATCTGCTATCTGTTTGCTGACTTTGTGGGAAATATTCAAGGGACGTTTTGAGGCTTCCAGTTTACCCCTTCTTTCGAGAAAGACCTCAGGTTAAGGGTTTTCCCACCTTATTTTTGACAGTGCCCAGAGGCATAAAGAAAAGCAAAGCAGCTCAGAAGCAGCAAATCCGATGGAATCCAGCCCTGCCTTTTTTATTTGATCGCTTTTGCTTCCCGGCTGGCTTTGAGGAACGGGGGAGCATAAAATATGAACCCGCTTAGCCTGTTCCATGACTGCTTTGCCAACAGGGAACTTCCTCCCTGTCTGTCTGTAAGCTGCGTGGCTGTTTGATACAGGTTAACATTTAGAAAACTGTGCTGAACTCTATCAGTGTTCCACCTTCGCTGCCAAGATCCATCTTTAAACGGGTTGGCGCTCGTTTGTCAATGTCTAGGGAGGAAATGAAGTTTAGAACGTAAGCAGGTGGGATATGTATTTTGGTTTGCTTTGGTTTCTAACGGCAAAACACATTAGAAAACAAAACTTCGGACAATGAAATGCTTGAGGAGTGAGGGGATTTTCTGGTATAGTATTCTTTCCTCATCCTCTCTGTTATTTCAGAGCTCTCTAAGTGTACTTGTAAGCTTTCTTCTGTTAAAAACTATAATACAGGCTGGGCATGGTGGCTCACGCCTGTCATCCCAGCACTTTGGGAGGCTGAGGCAAGAGAATCCCTTGAACCTGAGAGGCCAAGGTTGCAGTAAGCTGAGATTGCACCACTGCACTCCAGCCTGGGCGACCGAAACAAAACGAAAAACGTACCACCACTAACAACAAAAAATGAAAACAAAACTATAATGTGGTGAGAAAAGTGAAATTTTACTTGATAAGGAAAGATCTTTCAGTGATTTAGAGACATCATTTTGGATATTAACAAAATGACATAGATATGGTGGTAAGGAAGTTTGTTCCAGAGGGTGCTAATTCTAGGCCAGACCCTGAAAGCTGAATTTTAAAGTTCATTCCTGATGTCATCCTGTTTCTTGGGATTGGCTCATTTCTTCTACAAGTAGGTATCACAGACATTTCCTGACAGTGAGGTAATGACCCTTTTTTTAATCCAATGCAATGTCACTTTGCGCTATGGCTGTTTGTCTAGGGGAGTGAGAGGCTAGAAGTGGGCTGACCACTCAAAAAAAAAAAAAAAGTAGCAAAAGCATAGCATCAGTTGATGGAATTGGGTAACTCGCACCAATAGCAGAGATGTATGCTGTGTATTTCTAGATTGCTCCAGGCCTTCCAGATTAAAATGAATGCTCTTTTCTGTGTCTTTTCCTCTCCTCTAACTATTCTTGCTTACCATCTTAACAGCCTTTGGCATGAAGGGACGGACCTGGTAGGGAACTTCTCCGCACCAGGCATGTTATTTATACTTTGCCATTTAGTCCTCACAGCAACCCTGAGAGGTAAGGTTGTATCATCTGTTTCACGGTTGAGGAATCCCCTGAGCCTCGACTCTGAGATGCTGAGTGACAGCCCAGCTCACACAACCACGTGGGAGCCCAGCGATGCCAAATGCCAAAGCCCCTTCCCTTGCCACGGGCAGTGCCGCCTGGGCTCTTGCCCTGTAGCCGGGTGTCGGGTGTTCCATTCAATGTTATCTTCTTTAACTCTCTGGGCCGCAGGAAACTGAAGACGCACCTGCAGCATCTCCGGTGGAAAGGAGCGAAGAGCGCGACCCGCGAGTACAAACAGAAGTGCTGTGCGCGCTGCCAGCAGGTGCTGGGGCTCCTGCTGCACCGGGGCGCCGTGTGCCGGGGCTGCAGCCACCGCGTGTGCGCCCGGTGCCGTGTGTTCCTCAGGGGGACTCCTGGCTGGAAGTGCACGGTGTGCTTCGAGGACAGGTGAGCATGGCTGGTGGCTGGATCCCTCCCACTCACTTGGGTCTCCGAGGAGGCCTGTTCATGAACGGCTCCTAAAGAGAGCACTTGTTCCTCACCTTCAGCCAGGAAATGTGTGTGGAGTACCTGACAGGGAGCTACCTTTCTCGACTTGGAAGTTATCCTCATCCAAAAATCAATTTTATCATATAGCAACATTTTTTTCATTTATAGAAGTTCGGGCCAAGCGCAGTGGCTCATGACTGTAATTCTAGCACTTTGGGAGGCCAAGGTGGGTGGATTCCTGGAGTCCAGGAGTTTGAGACCAGCCTGGGCAGGGAAGCAAGACTCTGTCTCTACACAAAATACAAAAGTTAGCTAAGTGTGGTGGTGCATGCCTTAGTCCCAACTACTTGGGAGGCTGAGATGAGAGGATCACTTGAGCCTGGGAGGTCGAGGCTGCAGTGAGCTGTGATTATACTACTCACTCCAGCCTGGGTTTCAGAATGAGAACCTGTTTAAACCACAAAAAAAGTTTATTAAGTCTAAGGATGGGCTAACCCGGGAGTTCAGGTTCATTCAGATTTCTTAACTAAATGCCTTCATTTTCTTAGCACTTACTTTCTCTCCTTCAGTACCAGTGGAGTAAATTATAATCTAGGGAATATCGGAGTAATACTATGAGGCTTGAAATACTGCCTTTTTGAAGGAGGCAAACTGACCTGTCTTTGATACTCAGGCAAAGAAATGGACATACTTCCCATTAGTGACAGACTACATCTATATTTATAGTAATCAATTGGTGTCAGCAGGTTTTAAAACCAGTTTTAACATGGAATTGGTGTTTTTAAACTCCCCATTCTGAAAACAATAAAGAACCCACTTGGCTTAGACTCCCATTGCTCGAAGCAAGAATGAACTAGTCATGAGTTTCTTGAAATCACTAGAGGGGTGACTCCGTCTGCTGGGGGAAATGGTGCACAAGGACATCACAGAACCTTGGAGAAGGGAGGAATGCTAGGCTGGTATGAACGGGAGTCATCAGAGACTCTGAGATTAGAAAACAACTTTTTTTTTGAGATGGAGTTTTGCTCTTTGTTGCCCAGGCTGGAGTGTAGTGGTGCAATGTTGGCTCACTGCAACCTCTGCCTTCTGAGTTCAAGTGATTCTCCTGTCTCAGCCACCCGAGTAGCTGGGATTGCAGGCGTCTACCACCACAGCCAGCTATTTTTTTGTATTTTTAGTGGAGACGGGGTTTCACCGTGTTGGCCAGGATGGTCTTGATTTCTTGACCTCGTGATCTGCCCGCCTTGCCTCCCAAAGTACTGGGATTACAGGCATGAGCCACCGTGCCTGGCCTGAAAACAACTTCTAAATATTGCCACAGATGTGTGAGTGGCCCAGGGACAAAGATTATGGGAGGCACTTATACCATGTGGGGATGGTGGCTGGGGTTTCTCTCCCCTAAATCAGGAGGGCTACGTTTCACGTACACCCTGGCATTCGTCTAGTGTCCTGTCCCTTTGCAAGGCTTATTGTATTTCATCCAGCCAGACAGGTGAAGTGGCTCAACCCGATTTCTTTGCTCTTGGGCTGTGTCCCTTCCATTTCACTCACGACGTGCCAAGTCACACAGACAGCGGCAGAATTCGCCTTCCGATATCATGTTTCTTCGGTTTGCTGAAGCCAAGATCCTTCAGGCTTTTCCTCGCTTGAGAGCAAAAAATAAAGAATTACTGTGAGCTGCCCTGGCTGCAGAGAGAGCAATTCCAAATCATCTCTAGAAAGGTCTCAGGGTCTTCTTCCCCATTTCAATTCCAAATCATCTCTAGAAAGGTCTCAGGGTCTTGTTCCCCATTTCAATCAACCATATATATTTGACGTCTAATGATAAACATTGCCGGGCAGGGCATTACATTTCTCAGCATTTTTTCTTCTTCTAACAATGAACTATACATGAAAAATCAAAACAGGAGGACGAGGTCTGAGGCAATCTCCCAGGAAGCTAACAGTGTTGAAATCTCTGCCCTAGTGAGCATTGTGTCTCAGGCACTGTAACTTTACCCTCTAAGTACATGAAACATGACTTCTAAAACCCCAGCTTCCTTATTTTGAAATAAGGAGGGTTTTCAAAATGCCTAAGGTCATTGCATGACTCTGAGTGCGTTCACAGTAGAAGTCGGGAGGGGAGAGAACTAAGTAGTTTGTGGTGACACGCATTTTCCTTCCCGTTGCCTTGCACCCTGTCCCCGCAGCCCTCTGTCCTCTCTCCAACTTTATCCAATCTGGGCTGTCCTCCTCCTTTTAGGACCAAAACAAAGATGAGACTTTGTGGCACTTTCGGATCTTTGACATTCATAACTGTGGCACGCAGGGGGACCTCGAAATGGTCTTTGACCCCAGTCATTGTCTCCCATGCTTCTTCCTTTGCTTCAGGTTCATTCCTCAAGAAAAAGTGGATTCGTGGTTCTGAGCAGGATGAGGAAATGTGGTTTTTAAAATCAAGAAAGGGGAAATTCTAGGGTAGCAATGACCAAAACCAACCAACCAGCTTGTAAGTGGCTGCAGAGCAAGAGGCCCGTGGAAGGTGCTGGTCCTGACCTTGTGTTGAGAGGCTCCAGGAGGCATTTAAGATAAAGTTTTTGTCTTCAGGGAAAGTATTCTCTTAGAACTACTGAATGCCAAGCTGCTGAGGGCCCCAGGAGCTCAGAGGAGGGAGAGATGAGGCAGGCTGAGTGGCTCAAGATGACTTTCAGAACACCCATGGTTGGAATGTTCCTTTAGTGTTTTATTAAGAGCTTAAAACAATCTTATAGGGTAGCTACATTGTTCATCCTCGTTTTACAGTTGAGGACGTGGAGGATTAGAGACACTAGATGGTCATATCAGTAAGAACAGGGTGAAGACTGCAGCCCAGGTCCCCTGGCCCCCCAGGCCTCCCTCTGAATCTCCAGTCCTCTCCTGCCAGCTGGCGGGGGTAGAGTCGTTTTTTTTTTTTTTTTGTTTGTTTTTTTTAAAGATGGAGTTTCCATCTTATCACCCAGGCTGGAGTGTGATGGTGCAATCTCGGCTCACTGCAACCTCTGCCTCCTGGGTTCAAGCGATTCTCCTGCCTCAGCCTCCTGGGTAACTGGGATTTCAGGTTCCCACCACCATGCCCGGCTAATTTTTGTGTTTTTAGTAGAGATAGGGTTTCACCACGTTGGCCAGGCTGGTCTTGAGCTCCTGACCACAGGTGATCTCCTTGTCTCGGCCTCCCAAAGGGCTGGGATTACAGGTGTGGGCCACCATGCCCGGCCAACAGTCTTAAAAGCCACGCAGAAGAGCTTGCCTCCGAGGCAGTAGGAATTGGAGTATAAGCTTGTCCTCCTTGCCACGCGAACACCATGCTAAAAGTGCGTGGTTCTGCAGGGCAAAATCAGGAGGGCAGAAGGCAAAGGTGAAAGAGCGACCTGAGAGTTGTGGCAGTGAATGAGAGGCACCAAGGGAGGAAGCTGGTGGCAACAGTGAAGGAGAATGTGAGACAGGAAAGGGAGGATGGACCTTGGTTACAGGGGATAGAAGACAGAGAAGGGTGAAAAGCGATTCTGAGGACTGGCCAGGCAGGTCGCTTGGCTTGCTGAGCTGGATCACAGGGCAGCAGAGAAACAAAGAAACAGTAAAAGAGAAGGAACAGAAAGAATCCAGTAATCAAAGGCATATTGGAAAAGACTTAGAAGAACAAAGTAAAGTTGCTTTCAGTAGTGAAGGGACTGAATGTTATCCTCAGCAGGACCAATCAGAAGAGGGTGACTTGGGAGGAGAAAGAAGTTAAAAGCAGAAACATCCTTGCTTTCCACTGATGTTTCTTTCCTTGGAATTTATTGATAATTTCTGCAGTGAAATGGCAGATTGTAACAATTAAACTTTGAAATATCAAGGAGGAGACTACGCTTTGTATTTTGTTTCGGCTTCATTTTAAAAAATAAGATTTAGCTTCATGATTTATGTTTGCATTAATTTTTTTCTATTAAAACTAAGTGGTAACGTCAAATTCCACGTCTAAAAGAAACATGCTCTTCTCCCTTAAGATTACTGAGGAATTACTCTTGTTCAAGACTTTTTTCCTTCAAATTGTGATCTTTCTTTTCATGCTTTGTAATTGCTGTGAACACAACAAATCGATTATTCTTCAGCTTCAGATATTTATGGACACACTGCTTGTTTCATTAGAAACATTTTGCTGCCTGTCAGGTGATTTGGAACCAAATTGGTCTGTACAGAGAATTCTATAAGTTGCAAATATTTTAGCAACAATAAAGGTGCAATGGAGCTTATATCCCATCATTAGAACGGAAGGTTTCAAGTTGCAGCAGGTGGTACTGTTGATTTCAGGGTAATTTCCTGCTCAAACTTGTCTCTCGTACCAACCTGATGCCAACAAAGAACAGCTTAAGTGTGTTCAGTTGAAAAATTGATCCAGAGCTTGGCATTTGAGTATTGTGTTCTTAGTTCTCAGGTTGGGTCTTGAGTCATTGCTGCAGAACAGTAGTGGTTAAAATAAGATCTTGGAGTTTATTAAAAGGGAGGTGAGCTGGATGTGTGTCTATGCCTGTGGTCCCAGTTACTCACGAAATGCCCAGGCAGGAGGATCACATAAGCCCAGGAGTTTGAGGCCAGCCTGGCCAACATAGTGAGACCTCCTCTCTAGAAAAACTTAAAAGGTTTTTTTTTTGTTGTTGTTATTGTCATTCAGCATTTCAGATTAGGACTTAGCTGTAAAGATATTGTTACAGGATGATGCATTGTATTTTCTGCATTGCATGAAATAATTTCTAATGAAAATCAAGTGACATTTCAAAGGAAGTTCTATTTAATTGTTTCTGCCTAAAGTAAAACTTCCCAGAGTTTAAAAAATGTAATCTTTAAAAGTTCAGACTGATACTCTCAGTATTTTTTCTTCTTCTTCTTCTTCTTCTTTTTTGAGGTACAGTCTCACTCCTATTGCCCAAGCTGGAGTGCAATGGTGCGATCTTGGCTCACTG